AATATAATGAGGTTTACATGAAGAAGGTATAATATAATGAAGTTTACTTGAAGAGGGTATAATATAAGTAAGTTTACTTGAAGACGGTATAATATAATGAAGTTTACTTGAAGACGGTATAATATAATGAAGTTTACTTGAAGAGGGTATAATATAATGAAGTTGACTTGAAGAGGGTATACTATAATGAAGTTTACTTGAAGAGGTACTAGTAACGTTTACTTAAAGAGAATACAATTGACATACTTGAAGGTTAGAATGAAGCTACACTGTAGAGGGTATAATGATACTTCGTTGAAGGATAGGAGAAAGCGTACTTGCAGAGAGTAAAAAAATCACTAAAAGAAGGTATGTATAATAACATATAATTGAAAAGGGTACAATGAAACATACTTGAAGAGGTTAGAATGAAGCTTTAATACTTGTAGATGGTTGAACAATACATAGTTGAAGACGACATAATAAAACTTACTTTAACGAAGAGAATCAAGCTTTACTTCGGGAGAATTGGAGAATGAGCACTTGAAGATGGTAAAATAAATTTTACTAGAAGTTTATATAATGAAACATACTTAAAGGAGGAGAATATAGTTTTTACTTGTAGAAGAAATAAAGGTGGTAGTTGAACAGGATTGAATAATTCTGACTCGAAGAGTTTGAAAAATAACTTACTTGAAGAGAATATAATGAAGCATACTTGAAGCCGACAAAATAAAACCTACTTGAAGCGGACAGAATAAAACACGGAGAAGGATAATATAGATTCAGCTTGAAACGGGTGTGACAAAGCTTTGACTTGAACAGGAGAGAATAATAGGTGCATTTTATTAGATGAGGATACCAGACGTCTGGCAGACCACGGGCCTCCCAGATACCACATGATTAAAAACAGGATCGATGAGCCGCCATACTTACAGTTAATACAACAGTATTTCGATCTGAATACCGAATCTAGGCGGTATGACCATCAGCACACTACGAGATGTATGCAAATTAAAATGAATTCGGTCAAGACTATCTCAAGGCATGACATTCAATCAATTCTTTTCTTTCGACAACTTCTGTTTGTTTTATCTACTAACCGTCCCTTAGACTAAAGATCATCATCAGAAACACTATTGCTGGCCATTCCACGACATGTCGTTGAATCGGCTTTATTCAACTTCATCTGCTTCAATGTGGTCAGCCCTTCAGTTGAAAGCATCAGACGTGGTATCCATGACCATCTTGAGATCTACCAGTCATTCGACTACGTTTCTTTCTTTATTTGCTCCTTAATTATAATCACTATTAAAAGAGTAACGAGGACCATCTCCAGGTGTACGGTTACTCATTCGGCGTCGTTTCTTTCTGTATTTTCTTCAAATCTCTTACTTGTCACTATCCGAAACAGTAACCTTACAGATGCATTGTTACTCATTCGACAACGTTTCTGTCGGTATCAATTTTCTTCAATTTCTTACTTGTCACTATCAGAAATAGTAACCTTAAGCATCTCCAGATTTACCATTGATTCGACAACGGTCCTACTTCTATTTTCAGACAGTCTTTTGCTTATCACTATCACAAACAGTAGTCAAGCTATTTACATAAACTATTTGCGGAACTACCATTCATTTGATAACGTTTCTTTATTCGCTTGCAGTTTCTTACTATTAAACAAAATGAATCAAAACCATCTTGTATGAACCAAGACCTCTTCATTATTGACATTCATCCGATGACGTTTATTTTTTTTATTTGAGTACAGTCTCGTACTAATCAATTATAACCCAGACCATCTCCGGATACAATATTCACTCGGCAAAGTATCTATAATTCATCTCAGCCTCGTACTAACCACTATTCACGAATACCATCTTCAGTTCTCAAATGCATTCGATATCGTTTCGTTATTCGATTGCTGTCAATTATTAACCACTACCACCCAAGATCATCTTTAGATACATTATTCATTCGACAAGTTTCTATAATTCATTGCAGTCTCTTATTGATCACTAACAACGGAGAACATATTCCGTTATAGCATTCATTCGACAAAGATTCTTTCTTTATTTGCTTACAGTCTCTTACTGACCACTATCAGAAATATAAACCAAAACCATCCCCAGATGTAACATTCATTCGACAACATTTTTTATTTTATTTACTAACAGTCTCTTACTACTCACTATCAGAAATAGCAACCAAGGCCATCCCCAGATGTAACATTCATTCGACAACGTTTCTTTCTTTATTTGCTTACAGTCTCGTACAGACCACTATCACAAATACTAACCAAGACCATCTCCAGATGCAACATTTATTCGACAACGTTTCTTTCTTTATTTGCTTACAGTCTCTTACTAAGTTCGCGAGTCGACGTAAGGTGGCGTGCTCAATGCATCTTGTGTGCAACACATTTGTCGAACTACACGTGCGCGTACGTATTGGTATTTGATCTCATAATCTCTCTTGATACAAAGATACAGCTATCGCTTTTTATAAAGCAGGTTACGATTCAGTAGACACACCCAGATGTTCGCACTTCACACCCACTGGTCAGTGAGCACTCCCTTCGCGACGACATGTGTCGGCCGCTCCCATTCGTTTCAGCAGTCCCCACGCTTTGCTGCACCTGTCTTAGAGTTTTAGGGCTTTAGGGTTTTAGGGGTTGGTTGCCGTTTTCCACCTGTAATGTGGAGTTGTTAATGGCGCCTAGCCTACCTGCATGCGTATCTCCAGCACAACTTATCTACATTAAACCAGAGCAAAGCGAAAGGATTCATTCTTTATAATTTTCTGATCCTAGGCAAGGAACAGACGTTCAGGCTGCCACATTGCCGTTCCGCATACACACACGCACGGTTGAGTCGACAGAGACGGTACTAGCACACAATATGTGTATACATATATGTATGTATGTATGTGCGTGTGGCAACCCACGTGATAGCAAGATAGAAGCTTCGAGGCGAGCATATCTCTCGCGTCGACTGCACAAACCGCCGCCACTCTCGGCATCTGCGTCTAAATGCTCATCCTACAAGCACCGTGCACACCCTCAGTCCCGTCTGTAGAGTGTTTCTCCGTTGGTGTATTGCGCAAGCGCTGTATCGTCGCTCGTACGTACGCGTTGAGTACCCGCACACTCGGCCCCTAATCACATACGCAGAACACCATAACCCGTCAATACGTTAGATACATCCTACACCGTATCACACACACTTCGCCTACACTAAACAGTCACCGTCACCACTGCCCCTGAGCTGGCCCACACTCAGACCACTTCCCGTGTGGTGTCCCGTTGTGAGTCTGTGGCTGAGCACGGGCCTAAGCCTGTGACTGTAGTTGTGTATGTGGTGGCTGTGCTGGTGTTATTGTGGGTTCAATTACACTGTTGTCCCATTACTAGCACTGCCACCTGCATCTGGCTGCCCCTGTGGATGTATACCTACTCCTGTACTCACTCCTGGTGGTTGTGCCTGTATATCCGTACTAGTGCCAGGGCCTGGCGGCTGGACTGGCCTGCCTGTGCTCTCCCCTTGTAGGGTTTTAAGGTTTATCTGCTCAGTAACAAGTGTCTGGCTGTCCTCATTCAGAGGCGTTGGGTGCAGAGTGCCCTGGGCCGTCGTCTGCGGTTGTACTACAGACGGTTGCTGCTGCTGCTGAGGTTGTGCTACAGACGGTTGCTGCTGCTGCTGAGGTTGTACTACAGACGGTCGCTGCTGCTGCTGAGGTTGTACTACAGACGGTTGCTGCTGCTGCTGCGGTTGTACTACAGACGGTTGCTGCTGCTGCTGAGGTTGTGCTACAGACGGTTGCTGCTGCTGCTGAGGTTGTACTACAGACGGTCGCTGCTGCTGCTGAGGTTGTACTACAGACGGTTGCTGCTGTGTCGTATGCACGTACACACGTGCGTTGTCTGGTGCATGTGCTGGCGTGTTCTGAGCAGTTGAGTTCGCGTTTGCGTCTGCCTGAGAGACCGTCTGAGTCGGTGCAGGAGTGGTGTCAGTGTGCGCTGGAGGTGGTGTGGTGCGTTGTGCCGTGGGCTGTGGTAGTGGTGGTTGGTGTTGTGGTTGTGGTGATGACTGTATCTGTGGTTGTACTTGTGGGTGCACTTGCGATTGTCGTACTGGCTGTATTTGTGGTTGTACTTGCGCCTTTCGTACGGGTTGCATCTGTTGTTGCACGTGTGTCTGTGTCTGTGGTTGTACTTGTGGCTGTACTTGTGGTTGTACTTGTGCCTGCAGTACTGGCTGCATCTGCTGCTCTAAGTGTGTCTGTGGTGGTTCTTGTGTCTGTGGCTGTGACTGTAGTACTGGCTGTGAGTGGGACTGTACCACTGGTTGTGGCTGTGGCTGTGACTGTAGTACTGGTTGTGGCTGTGTGGTGTGTGCTGGTTGTATTGGCATTTGGGGTGTGCTATCCGTTGTTGACCTTGGTTGCATCTGTCCGTGTGGCTGTGTGGTTGCCTGTGTGAGTGGTTGCTCTTCCGCGTGTGCGTGTGACGTAACCACCTGCTGATCTCTTTGCATTGGTTGTGCTTGTAACTGTATTTGCGGTTGTGGTTGTGCCTGTGGCTGTATTTCTGGCGGTAGTTCTACCTGTGCATGTGGCTGTATTGGTGGGTATACTTCTGGTGGAGGTTGTACTTGCACTTGTGGCTGTATTTGTGGTTCTATTTGTGGCTGTGCCTGTGGGTATACTTCTGGTTGTGGTTGTACTTGTGGCTGTATTTGTGGCTGTGCCTGTGGGTATACTTCTGGTTGTGGTTGTACTTGTGGCTGTATTTGTGGTTCTATTTGTGGCTGTGGCTGTATTTCTGGCGGTAGTTCTACCTGTGCATGTGGCTGTATTGGTGGGTATACTTCTGGTGGAGGTTGTACTTGCACTTGTGGCTGTATTTGTGGTTCTATTTGTGGCTGTGGGTATACTTCTGGTTGTGGTTGTACTTGTGGCTGTATTTGTGGCTGTGGCTGTGTTTGTACTTGTGGCTGTGGCTGTGTTTGTACTTGTGGCTGTATTTGTGGTTGTACTTGTGGCTGTATTTCTGGTGGCGGCTGCACTTGTACCTGTGGGTGTGCTTGTGGGTGTTGCTGTGTTTGGGGGGTGTATACCTGTGCAGCACCAGCACTCTGACCCCCGCCACCCCCCTCCTCGCTTCCCATCATAGTCAGCCTCTCCACCCGGCCACCCCTCTCCCCGCCGTTACCATGGTAACCCATCGTACCACTCTTCTCCTCACCGACCACAGCCTCCAGCTTCACCCGCTTGGCACTCATACGCGGCGACACATGCGGCGACAGGGTCTGCCCATACTCAGACGTGCCCTGAGCTTGCGCGTGTGCATGTGTGTGCGTGCGTGCTTGTTGCTGTGGTGTGCGTGGCTGCTGTTGTCGCGCGCTCGTGTGATACGCCAACGGTGTTGTGAGGGTTGCGTATGGATTGCCCCCCCCCCCACCCCCATTCGCCGTCTCTCCCGTCCCGGTATTCGCCCCGGCCGTCCCGCTATGTGCACTCTGCACGCCACTATTACTCGGCGAGGGGATCAGGGAGTGGCCTTGTGCCTGTGCATACCCGTGTGTCTGTGTCTGTGCTTGTGTGTACGTATGTCCCTGTGCTCGTATCTTAGGGGATGGCGATAGCCCTGCCTGAGCGTTGATGGACGTGGCCAGTGTCTGTACTGAGGGTGTGCTGCCCACCGACTCAGATGTCAATGTCCGCGATAGTTTGGTGCTGACGGCTCTCTGTGGGAGTAGGAAATGCGAGTGAGTGAGTACGTGGGTGGGCGTGTATGGGGGTGGAGAGGGAACGTGGATATAAGGCAGGTGAGGAAAGAATGCGTGGCAGATATACGAGTGAATAGTCTAGAGGACGAACGTAATGTAACGAGGACGAAAGGTATGTGAGGAGTATGTGAGATATGCGGGGCAGAAAAGTGGGGCAATGCAGGAACGGCGAGGTAGGAGTGTGAGTTAACACCATAACATATGAGCATGGAGTGAAAGGAGCACGAGGAAAGTGAGAGCAAGAATACAAGCAGGTAACCGGGAGTATGCGTAGAGATGCAAGAGGTCCTAGACCATGGATATATATATATATATAATGATATCCTACACTCGGACATCTCATTATCAATCTCGCATCCCACATTGAACGAAGTGTTTACGGACAATCACAAATACGTTCTTAGTCACAAGCCTTCGCATCGCTGAAAGCTATGCATTTGTACGCACACCCACCACACCCACCCGCAGAATACACGATCCATACGAACATAAACATACCTCACAATATACACACACACAGGCACCTACAACCCCCCATGGCACACATCTCACCCCATCGCCCCCCCATACCTTGTTCTTGGACGTACTGTCCGTAGACACCGTCTTCTTATTACTCCGGCTCCTGCGTTTGTATGTGCCGTCGGTGAACTGACTCTCTGCCGCGGGGTCGATGGTCCAGAAGGCACCCTTGCCAGGATCATTAGCCGCACGCATGACCTTCTCAAAGCACTTGTTAAGCGACAGGTTGTGGCGGATACTGTTCTGCCACCCATTGTCGGTGCTGGTGTGAGAATGAATAGGAGTGAGTGTGCAGTGAGTGTGTGGTGGCACGGGAATGGACATGTTCAAACGTATAGTTATGTATATATATATATATATATATATATGCGTATGTATGCGTGTGGTCAAAGGCTCCGAATAGTTCATGAGTTTCACACAGTACTATTGATCGACAGGTTCTGGCGAATGCTATACTGCCGCCCGTTGTTGGTGATGGTGTGGGGATGGCTGAGAATTGAAGGAATTTGTATCTTTACGGAATAACAAATAGATTCATATGATGTACATAATGAACTCAATAGTATATACTATAATACCAAATAGATTCATATGATATACATAATGGATTCTATATATTTTATACTATAATACCAAATGGATTGATATGATATACATAATGGATTCTATATATTTCATACTATAAAACCAAATAGATTCATATGATATACATAATGGATTCTATATGATATACATGCATATTCAGCGTTGTATGGAGAGATGGGGTAAATAAAGAGCACGGGTGATTGAGAGTAAGTGGTCATCTGCAGCATACTCTCAGTAGTACGGAGAATGAAAACACAGACAGACACATACATACAGACGGACAGAGATATGAACAGAGACAGAGACAGACATACAATCACAATCAAGTATACACACACAACTCAACAAAGGCGATGACAGCGTAGCGCCAGCCAGCCACCCACCTGCAGCGGTAGAAGGGGAAGTTGTCCATGATAAACGAGTAGATGCCACTGAGCGTGAGCTTCTTCTGCGGCACGCTCTTAATGGCCTGTGCTATGAGTGTGGCGTAGCTGAAGGGCGGCTTCACGCTGGGATCGGTCTTGTACTCGGGCAGGGACGTGTTCTGGTGGTGTCCGTGATTCCCGGTTAATTGTCCACTGCCGTCAATCATGGGCGATGGCGGTGCTGACGACAAGTCTGGGCTGCCCGGCCGGGGCGAGGGTGACCTTGAGATCTACAGTGATTGTGTAGGGGTGGGTGGGTCAGTAGTGGGTGTTAGGGTTTTATAGATCGGTGTGTTTTGATTGGTCGGAGTAACGGATAGATACGTGCTGTTGGTTTACCGGTGATTTAAACGATTGTGGACGTAGTAGCCTGATCTATAGTGATCGTGCAATGGGTTTAAATATACAATGTTCTCTCCGCAACGCCCTACATACTCCAGTTGAATATAAATATAAACATAACATAAATATAAATATTTAAGTAGATATAAATATATATCGTACACACATAAACATAAATGCTGTACCAGATTAAATATCCACATATGTTCCACCCGGGAAAACCACCATATATATATAGTATAAGCATACAAACAATTTACACTGGGCAATAGCAGTCGTCTCAAAAAGGTTGCCTTGATATATATAGTGCACTCAGCTTTGCAGTGGTTTACCTTGAGGCGTTTGGGGTCGTGGTCGTTGTCTCTGACCTGCAGCTGTTCACGTTCTCTCAATGCCGAGTCTTCTAAACTAAGCTCACGCTTGCTCAATGGCTTGAGTCGCTGTGTAACGACTCCCACAGGCAACAGAAACATAAACGTCACTTCCCCAATGCTGATCTTGCTCTTGTTGGTGAGTACTATAGGGGGGCTGCCCTGTCCGTGGAAATGGTCGTTCACAATGACCCCGTTTCGTCCAAAACAGGACAGTTCAAACCGGCGGGTGACAAAGTTGAAGTCTAGGCGCAGGTGTCGGCGGGAGACGCTTTTGGACTTGCCCAGATCAACGTCCACCTCATCGGTGTTGGTGGTTTTGCGCCCCAGAGTGACCGAAAGAGACCGCACGTAGTACACAAAGTCCTTGCCCTACGGATGATGGGTGGTTTACACGAGTTTTATAAAAGCAATATATATTAGAACATATGGGATATACGATATATTGATACATAGCAGAATACTTACATAAGCAATATATAGTAGAACACATGATATATGTATATAACAAAGAATGCACGGATCATCACACACCCTCGACCTATTGTACGACGTATTGGACACACGTAGTATGCGTGGGCACCGCACACAGATCACACAGAGTGACACATGGGGAGAGGGCAAAGCATTCGTACATGCACATTACTCAATAGCTATTAAAAAAAAACACACACATACACACACACAGAGTATATGTATATATATACATATAAATATAAGTATATAAATAGGTATCTATATAACGACCCCATATAAGGTACACGGACTCTCAGTTTCACGAAAAGAGTACCGGTACATAAGAACAGCATAGAACAGAACTAAACTGAACCCACGTCAGATAACACGTACAGCAAAGACACTCATAATGATATGAAAAGCTTGCACCAAGTACATGAACTATGGGAAGCACCGGGATGATAGTAGGTTAACTTACTGTATGATAAAACTCGGCTATAAGTAGAAAAACTCAGTTATGAGGGTGTATAAAATCCTACAGGGTACGTGGGCACTTCGGACAAAGCATATGACTATATGCACTAAATAGGAGAACAAGTATGTGCACAGATAATGGTACACGAGGTTGAAGGATATTTATGAATAAATGTATTCACATGTGTACAGGTACAGATATAACTCAGGTACGAGTATCAGTGTAGAATTTACTTGCTTGGAGACCAACTAGAAGTAAGGTTCGCATGTACTTGATATGCAGGGTGTCTATTTAGTGGGCACATATATACATAACATACGTACATATACACACACGCTCAACTATATAAACATATTTGAGTACGTGTGTCGAAACAACCCATTTTTTCAGGTACAGATACAATTATTCATACTTCATCTACCATGGTAAAAGGTATCGACACAAATATCGTAAACATATATATATATATATATGTGTGTGTGTGCAAGTGCGTGTGTGTAAGTTTCAAATATTATATACTTATAAAAGTGCTAATTGATATATACATGCATACATAAATACATACATACATACATACATTATATATGTGTGTGTAAGTGCGTGTGTGTAAGTATCAAATATTATATACCTATAAAAGTGCTAATTGATATATACATGCATACATAAATACATACATACATACATATATATATATATATATATTTCTGTGTGTATATGCATGTGCATGTGTATTTGTGTCCGTAGAAAAATTGCGTGCACATACACACACATACACATGTAAATACATAAATACATGTATACACACACACACACATACAAACACACACACACACATATATATATATATATACATAATATACTATTTATATGTGTACACCACTGAAGGCATTAATTCCGATATGTATATTCGACGATATGGACGTATACCGAGTGTAAATATGTGTACAAGCACATACTTCGAGTGCACTAGCACCTAGCAAAAATAGGACCACAATGGCAGGTCTGATGGACCTGAAATCATGATATAACAACTACAAACACCTACCTGTATCTTGCAGTAGGCTTCAAAGGGCGATGTAACTACATTCGTGGGCAGTGGCTCTGCCGTGTGCGCAGCTGCCGTGCTAGTGATTGCCCTCCCACTAGCGTCGTATGCGACTATTTTCGCACTTGGATCGCCGTTTGCCTCTGAATCCTGTCTATCTAAATTGCTGTTCTTCTCGCTAAACTTGACATCTGCACTATAACTCACGTTGGGTTTCTGCTCGCTGGCCCTCATGGCCGGGGTGGTGTTGGGTGTGTTTGTGGGGTGTGTGTTTACATCCGATAGGTGTGACGTATGTCCTGCACCCAAATCTGAGTCAGAAACAGCTGCACTGAGTTTCTTGGTACTGTTAGCAACCTGTAGTGTGTCTACTGGATGGACTGATGTGGACGGTGTAGTTGGTACTGGGTGTTCGCGTATAACAGGTGTTTGTTCAACCTTGGTTCGATTTGCACTGTCATTTGCAGCGCTATTTGCGGGTACAGACGCGCCCGCTTGAGTCGCAACCTCCTTATCCACCCCCTCAGTAGGGGCTGCTGACGACATGATGTTATGTATGAGGGGTGCAATTACTTGGGTTTGAAGTGCTACAAAAGGCCGACTCACTTCTGAAGCACGCTTAAAGTATAAATATGAAGCACAACCCAAATCTCGTGAAGATACTCCTATTTCTGTGATAGAGTACAACTCGTAAACAAACTTACAGTATGATGTTGTACGTATATATTAAGCTCCTTTGACGTGAGCGTTCGTTTAAAGCCGCCTGATTACACCCGCGACACAGACATCTTGAATCCATAAAGCAAGTGTGCAAGTATGCCTAAGGCGCAGGTATTGGCAAAGGAAAAAGGGTGTATGATAAGTAGTACACCAATTCTCGACAAAGGTTGTTAGATTGCTGAGTTGTATGCATCTGTTTGAGCTGATACTTGTTAAATACCCCAACTCTGCTTCAAAGGATTGGAACGTCTGCAGAACCGAGAAACCTTATAGTACTAGCCGGACAAGATTTAACAAAAGAAGTCCCGAATTCTTTATATTCCGGATTAAAGGTATCAATCGGTATTCTTCGTATTGCATGTATTTTAACTGCACATGTATGTACTGCAAGCTTTCTCCATGGGTTGTTCCTATAGCTTATAAAATAGATCGACACCGACAACAAAACGGTTCTCAGAGAAATCAACAAACGGTTTTATTTATTTATTATTATTATTGATTATTATCATCCGATACGATATGGACAGTCGACAGTCGACACGTTTAAAAAGATTTGGTCATATACAAAGCAATGACGTACATCCCTAATAGGGCTATTGTACTGACCAATAAAGCCGGCAACTAAAAATTGGGATTAAAACAGACACACACTACTTTAATTTTAAACTGTCCCGAATCAGTTTTTAATGTTGCCATGTCGCAATTCGGGATATTGTCGGGCTATATCCTACTAGAGTTCTATGTTTTAAATAGTGAATTTTCAATATTTGAAACGCATATGTACGTTTAAAATCAGATGGGATTTTCGGAAAATAGTATGTAGTAAATATATAAATAGGGACATTCGAATATAAAAATATTGTTTTATTTTTGGATAAATTATATTTTTAAATTACAGCTTTGACATTTGACACTGCTGTGGGTTACATTTCACCAGAGAGTCAGACTTCAAAGTGTCATCGTCTATCGGTAGGTAGTAGACTGATTACCTGTCAAAATGTCATTCTACTTTCGTGGTTTTGTGTGAAATCACATAGCCTTCTGAAAATCAAACACAGAAGGCTATGGAAATCACTTTTGTATTTCGGTTTTGTGTAAAAAAAACAAAAACAAAAAAAACATTTTATAGTGACCCAATTTCATGACTTGGGTTATAAAATGGGTCTTGGATCTCTTGGGTTCATCTAAATATTTTGAATTTGTTGTCTTAAATTCCTCAATGTTTTGTTTAAAACAAATACCGGAAATTCTCTAAGAGTATTTTTATAGTAATAAAAAATAAGGCATAGTGTATGACAAGTAGCGATTTATGTTCCTAAAATAGACAATAAATACAACAAACGTTCTCAAATCTCGTGTTCTGGCTTCTGACTTCTTAGACTCTGAGTCTTACTCACTGAGAGTTTTATGTTTTTTTTGTAGAAAAAGTACTTCTGAATAGTGAATTCTGATGTTCTCCCTTCTTCTGTGGTCTGTGGATTGTGGATGCGCGTCGCGCGGTTATAAATAAATAGTTTGCCTTGTTGAGTATCTTGACTTCAGAGTTCAGACTTCATCAGTCTTCACAGAATCCTACACCCACTGTATTGTTTTTATACTTTGTTTTTTTCTTCTCAAAAACACCAAAATTTTATACGTACAGTATCAGTCGGACAATACTTCAAATAATTTAAAATTTTAAAATGATGCGCAGTTGCGCACCGATGTTGCGTGGAATTCAAATTTCGCAAATCGCAATTCCGACATCGAAAATTGAGAAACTCAAAACTAGGAATTGGTACATATTTCAAAAAAAAAAAAAAGTTTCTTCTCGATGAACCGACAGGACCGAAATCATGGGCTGCTGGGACCTGAGACTGCTAGGTGTCTGCCTGTCTGGCCGTCAGTGTCATTAATATAACTACTTAAAAAAATAGTCTGCTACTACTATTAGGCATCCTACTATAGTCTACAATTCTACATATTCACTGACTCACTATTTACATACTCACTCATACAAGTTAGAAGAGTAGAGCACTAGAGCCCCTGAGTAGAATTTTATAGACATTGTTGGTAAACGACACCGACATTTACCTAAACGATATGTACGACGTGTCGGCCGACATGTTGGCAGGGTGTCGTCGTTGTCGGGTGCCTGGCCAGCAGTGGCAGTGATTTTAGAGTGATAAATTCGTACCTCTTTTGCTTTTTTTAATACAAAAACTAATTAAATACGATTAGTGTCCGACTGTCAGTGTTTACTTTATTATCTAAAGAAAATTGTTGTTGTACAAGTCCAAATAGACTTGAAGTTCAAGACAGAGTTTTGTTTTCTGTTTTTGTTTTTACACGATGTAAATATGCCCACTGTACATAGCCTTCTAAATTAAACACTATGTATTCTTTTTGTTTTTTCAAAACAATATTTAAAAAAACTTGTTTTATAAAAAATCGCGTTGGAACGACTCATTGGAGTTCGGAGTTCAGGGGACTGGTCACTGGACTGCCCGGGCTCAGGAGTCACTAGTCAGTACTCAGTAGTCAGGGCCTCAGGCCTCAGGGCAAGGCTCAGACTCAGGAGAGTCAGGACTCCAGAAGTCGGAGGCTCAATCCGCTCAGACCTCAGTCGGTCAGTCCTCAAGAGTCAAGAAGTCAACTGGTCAGTGACAAGTGACAAGTGACAAGTAACAACTCCTCAGGACAGTGAGTCCTCTCACCGCTGTCCTCACTCAGCCACTCAGGGCTCCTCAGAGGCTCAGGCTCACACACACAGTCACACAGACAGACACACACAACAAGAGAGAAGAGAAGAATGTTGTTTTCTTTTTTTAAATTATATTTTGTACAGTTGTGTTATAGTTGGTAAAAAAAAAAGCGAAAAATTGCATAGCCTTCTGAAATTTAAAAAGAAATATAGAATCAAAATTCTCATAGCCTCCTAAATTGAACCAAAATTGTGTATAAATGTTTAGAATTTTATATACAAAAACAAAAGTATGTGTAGATGACAATATTTTTTACGTTCATATTTTGGTGAGAAATCTTGAAATCTCCTCTCTCTTGTAAATAAGAATGTATTGAATTCTGAAAATATGTGCATAAAAACAGAACTGAATCATGTCGAAAGTCGAAACTTACCTAATCATCTGAAATACATACGTAATGAACCTGCTTCCGGTATGTGTGATTACCAGATGCAAAAGACGTCTAAGACTCTGAATGAAACCAACGTAGGCTGCGTTATACAGTGTTCTACACGTGCGGCAATTTTGAAACCTAAATCTAGGCTAGGAACCTCTGCTACTAGAGGTACTAAAAAAAAACAGAAGCATGTGCAAATTTCCGATGCTGGTTGGCTTAGTAAAAGTGGTATATCATTGAGTAAACACTGCATAGTTGCATTGTACTTTCTACTTCTCTGCATATGCCCTGAGCTCACCGCCGCACAGTGTTCTAGTGCAGGTATCCAAAAGAATACTGCAGTAGGAGTATCGTGTCTGTGTACATCTCGCTATTATGGTACATCATGTGAGTCGCAAAACGTGGAGGTAGCTTGCGATAATACTCCCAATTACTACACAATTGGAAACGATGCCGCAATTGCGAATACGATAGTTTCAGGACAATCGGTTGACATCTTAGTCAGATTGCCTATGTCTGATGGCAGGACGTATACCTCAGTGAGCGTAGAGTCTTGTGCGGAAACATCTTTCCAAGCTCTTGTCTGGAGCTCTGATGTCTTTCCAGCATGCGATGACTTGGTCACAATAAGCATCAACATTGCAGACTTGGAAGGAGTGTGTACATTCTCCCAGTCGGATGTGATTGAATCTAACACACTGTACAGACAATACAGAGGGAGTGTAGTAGTGGTTTACAGTGAAAGCGTTCCCGTCACTTCTGGGTCGAGCACAACACGAACTAGCACCTTCACTCTACCCATAGATATCAAATTACAAGGCAACGTAGCCGCTACCACGACCACGACCACGGACGTCGCAGTATTCAGTGCCTTCGATTTACAGGCAGCCATCTCTGGATTAGTAATCTCTGATGGAGCGCCTACGAGCTTAGTTTACATTTCGTATGGCTTGCCATACCCGTATAGCGTCACATCCTTCAATCCTACGCTCACACTGTCTGGGGGCACACTAGTCCAAAGTGCTGTAGTCACATCGCCAGTATCCGCAGAAAGGTGCAACCATGCGGGTGCGACAGAGTATAGTTATGCTAACAATGTATGTTTCAAAACCCTAGGAATAGACATCACACACGGATCTTCATGCACACTAGACGGTATATACACCATCAACACTGTAGGTGTCAATTGTGGAGACAATGTACCAGCCAGTGATTGTCCCTTGGCTGCAGAGGATACAAGTTCATCCGTGAGCTTTACACTCGTAAGCGAGAATTTCTGCGATGGTATGGGATTGAATGCAATTATTGATGATGCGGTGACAATAGCAGAGTTCACTACATTCCATGAAGAGGATGTGCAGAGTGGTACACCCACCACACAACGTGCCTTTCTGTTTGGCGAAGATGTGTGGTTTAAAATGAGTTTTGTTGGTCTGAAGATTTTCAGTGTGGCTATGGATTCCTTGGTAACCGACTTGAATGCCAATGACCACAAGTTCACCATGGTGGATGCGGGCACGAATTTGGGGTTCGATGTCGAGACGCAGTTGTACTGGTTCAAACATGAGATCACCGAGTCGTTTGTTGGTGCAGATCCAGGTCCAGGTAATTCACAGTCGGCTGTGGTGACTGTAACAATAACCACTTCGTATGAAGAACCTGTACGTAGACGGAGGCGAAGGAGACGTGCAGTAAGCAGAAGCAGTCAGGACATGGTTAACGAAGGTACACATAACGAGAGGGACAAGAATAGGATACATGTTGGGCGTGCACGCGGACGCAGAATCAGTTTTGACGATTTGAAGCCGAACAATCCGGGTGTGTATGAGCCAATCGATGGTGAAGATATCTTAGATGATGTACCTGTGAAACAGAATAGCATTCAAGATAACGTAGGCGAGGTTGTAGAAATGAACGAAGAAACCAAAGATACTAATGAAGACGTGTACGATACATTAGATCTCAAACCAAATGATGTCGTAGGTGCCACTACTACTGCAACACCCAGTTCAACGAAAGAACCACCAACTAAAAGTGATACAACTCCAACACCAAGTGGTAGTGGCACCACAGAACCAGATGGCAACGCAGATACTGCTGAAAGGCAAAGCAAGAATACAACACCCACCCCTTCACCGCTTGTCTTGACGCCTAACATCCCCACTGGATCATCGTTCGTAGAGGTGGAGAAAGGAGAAGTTGTAGTCGAAAAGGTGCAAACTGGTGAAATTGATGAAACTGGAGGCGATAGCACAGGCAATAGTACGGAAAAGGGCATAGCGGACGGGAGTGTGTTTGTTATCAGAGGTGACGAGGACGTTGAGTTTGTATTCCACAACAATGTGCCGTTAGGTACATCTCCCACACCTAAGCCAGAGGTAACTACAACAGTGTCGGAAAGTGATGTAGACAATGATGATCTGTATGGTGCTGGCGATAAGCTCGTAGAGACAGGTCAAGGCTCTGTATCTACACAGTTTAAGTTCGAAGGTGTCATCGGGAAGCCCTTAGTTTGGGATACCGACATCTCACCTGGTGCGAGTATCACACAAGGAGAGCAGATTGTCTTGCGAAAGCGTAGAAGTACGGATCAGATGCGTAAACGTCGACTTAGGGGTCAAATCAATATTTAGATGTACTTATTGAATAATTAGGGCTGTTTGAGCGCCAAGCTAGTATTTACAAGTGATATCCCAAATCAATACTTAGATGTACTTATTAAATAATTAGGGAATATTTGAGTATCAAGCTGGTAAATAAAAGCGATGTCCCAAGAATTGCATTCTTAAGGTAGTTGGAACTGATCGTGGTTGAGAACGGAAAGTGATTGAATGCGAATGCGAAGTGTGCAACCGATCAAAACGATCAAAGCTGATATTTATAACCGTCACAGCTGGATATGTGAGATTACTGCTTTATATTAACAATACGTTTACCCAATCTGCCGCCGATATGACCATAACGCAGCGTTCGAGTTGCAAAGTAGTATCTTCGTGCTTAATAATCGTTTGGCTATCTACGGCTCGTTGAAAAATTGTATACATATGTCGTATGAAAGTTTGTCGAATGTTGGTTTATGAACGGTCTAACGTTTATATGGTCTAAATTGAAATATAGCATAGCCTTTCATAGGCTATGAATAAACTCGGGGGGGGGGGTTTTGGGAGTTATAAACGGTTTGACATAAATATAACGCTTTGAGTTTAGTCTTGACCGGTACATAGGCCGCGACTCCTGTGAGCAGATCATGAGCAAGTTTGAATATTTGAATTAAGACACGTAATGTTGCTTGACAGCATACGGACTGACCGCTCAGTGTGTGTACGTATCGTTATGCACGTAACGTTATGCACGCGTGTAGTCAAGTACACGATAGGCACAACACCTGATACTGTGAGAACAGAGCATACTGTGTTGTGGTAGTAGCAGGTTCATTAGTACTGTCCGCATCGATAGTGCCGTCGATAATGATATTATGGGCGTTTCGTGTGTCGTCGTGGTATATACATGACCCGTCTCGGTTGTCATCAGCAGAGTCACCTCAATGATGCGTTGCATGTACAAAACAAGATACCGATATTAACATCGATAAAGGAACACTGCTTCAGTTTCTATTATCGTTACTATGAACATGGGCAGTAGGCGCTGTCGAACTGGAGCTGGCGTCAAGCTCGGCAGGCAGGTATGGGCAGGGGACTGCACTATCGCACGCGTATGCTATAGAGTTACAGAGCATGATTATTCAACCAATGCACTGAGTATGTATATGCTATGGTATTACAGATTAGGAAAGAGAATAACGTTAAATAGAGCACGATTGAGATGAGCAACTGCTATAATGCTCAATGTTTACTTGAGAACACACTAGTCTGTGAACACGAGAGTGGGAGATAACCTTCGGATAGGATAGGCCTACGAATACTACGAAGCTTTTAAATGCATCTGTGCATATTTGTTTGATATATAAGCGCTGATAACGCTGCAGAGCACAACAAGCTATCAATTGTCACTCCGCGGTGCCTAACGAGGTATGCACATCGCAACACAAGCCAGTCCATCAGACACAAAGTTCGTGTGAATGTGAATGCTATACACTTGCCACGGTCGATAGGTTGCCACGGATGTAACATTCCTTGCGAAGACTTTTGCACACGTCGTGTCAGTTTATTGCGTATGTATGTAGCCTTCTATCTGTGAGGTAGCGCGTGAATACTTTTGAGCGTCCGCAATGTGTAATGCGTTAGTACTTGTACTTATTTTGATATTTCAAGTACTTGTACTTTTTTGTCATTTCAAGTACTAGTACTTATTTGTCCTTTCAAGTACTTCTACTTATGTTATTTCTTTGCGCACGTGTACACAATAGTATATATATATATGCATACACACACACAGCATACACACACACACACACACATATATATATAAATATATATATTATAAATATATATATATATATATATTATAATTATAATATATATATATATATATATACTATAGTATTACTATACTATA